TCGTTGACACCTAATTAACACTTATTGTTAACAGGGGTGGAGTGATACTGGCAATAGCCGCGCTGTAGGAGGGGGACAGCTGAAAACGGAGACCCCCACCTCTGTTTAATGATGGACGGTCTTTCTTCACAAAAATGGCTTCTTTTATTCCTCTCTCAAACCAACGTTCCTCTCTATCAAGAATGAGAACATCCTCATCTCTGAAAGAGTGACCGCTGGCCTGTAAATGAGGGAAAACTGCAGAGTTCTGGCCATTAGATGTAGCTCGTCTGTGTTGGGACATTCTTTTGAACAGTGGCTGCTTTGTTTCCCCGATGTATAACTGGCCGCAGTCCTCCTGGCACTTAACAGCATATACAACATTGCTCTGTTTGTGCCGGGGCACCGGATCTTTGGGGTGAACCAGCCTTTGCCGTAATGTGTTTTGGGGTTTGAAAGCCACTGGGACATCATGTTYAGAAAATAAACGTCTCAGTTTCTCCGAAACACCCGCAACATACGGAATAACCACTGGTTTGGGTCTGGGTTTGGGGTCTTCATTTTCACCTGAAGGTTGCATGGAATCCTGTCTGTGTTTCCTGTCTGCTTTCAGGAAAGCCCAGTCAGGRTAACCACACTGCTCCAGGGCCTGTCGTGTGTGTGATTTCTCTTTCTGCCTGGCTCCTGGGTTTGTAGGGACACTGTCTGCTCTGTGGTACAGAGTCCTGATCACTCCTAACTTGTGTTCCAGTGGGTGGTGGGAGTCAAAACGCAAATATTGGTCTGTGTGGGTGGGCTTACGATACACGCCAGTTTCCAACCGTCCTCCATCCGAAACSGAGACATCGCAATCCARGAACGCCAACCTGCCATTTTTTACATCCTCTCGTGTGAACTTAATATATTCATCCACAGAGTTGATGTGATCAGTGAAATGTTGGACTTCCTGGGCTGCATCTAAAAATATTGGAACATTTTTAGCACAATGATTCCCGAAGGAAACTTGTGAAGACTTTGAACTCTACAGTTCATAATGTCAAAAGATTTCAAGAATGTAAAGAAGCGTCTGTGTGCAAAGGACAAGGGTGAAAGTCAACATTTCATCCTGTCTCAGCCAAAGCTCCTGTAAAATAAACTGAGGCAGAATGTGAGGGGGRAAAAATATGTGGTCGGCAAATTCAACATTTGAAACGGCTTAGCGCGCTGGTCAAAAGTCTGCCTCTCTGATGGTATGGGGGTACATTACCGCCTATGACATGGGCAGATTACACATCTATTAATGTGGAAACGTTTACATAGATTTTACATCCATAAGAGAAAAAGATCCTTAAAGGAAATGGTCTCCTCAATTTCTTGATGTTTACAAACTGTTGTTAAAAAAAGGGATGCTCGATGTAATAAATACAACACTGCTATGACTTTTTTTGAGACTTTCATTATATTTAAAATAAGCTTGTATTTTAAAATGGTGAAAGCTGGACAGATACCAGCAAAGATAGACGGAGGATTTAAAAGGGCTGTTTCAACATTTATGTTCCATTGTGAATAAAATATCTAGATGGATGAGATTTGCAAAACATTTTTAACAGAACTTGAAATGTCTTTATTGTTAACCATTTTATGAATAGTTTCAAGTGTTTTACACAATTATTTCAACATCCGTTGTAAACAAACGAGTGTGCAGAGGAAACCCTTTGAAATGAGCCATGAGCTTTTGCCACAAAAATAACACAACATTTTGTCTGCTTTCAATTTCCAGCGAGATGATTGCATCTAAAGAACAGTCTTCCACAAAGAGAACTCACTTCTTGTTTATTTTATTTGCGTACAACGAAGCTTCATCACAAGCCTATCTGGAAAAAACAAAACAAAACAAACAAAAGAAACTGTTGCACAACATCCCTCAATCATAAAAACAAGAGGAGATGCAAACACCTGAACAGCCTGGTGAAAGTCATGGTGGGCAGTCGTACAGCGCGTGCAGTCTTAAAGGTCGGAGGAAGGGGGGTGGGGGGTAAGGGTGAAGAAGCATGTGAATATGGTTTCTTTGGAAAAGCAGACTGTTAACAGCAGCAGCTCCTCAGGCCAAGAGACAAACTTCCTCTGGGGGGTTTCACTGGTCTGTGAAACCCCTCCAGGTTACATCAGCACGCAGATGAGTAAACACACCACAGTTTAAAAAATATATAAAAAAGGAGCAATCATAGCCACTTAACTCATTCTTGTTGATCAGCTTCATTAAAAAATGTATATTGCACTAAAAAAAATCCTGAACACACAGAGACAGACAAGTACAGGAGCTGTTGAGTAAACATCTACATAAGCAACAGGTTGTTTTTGTTTTTTCACTGTAAACAACAGGAGACGTTTGCTTTGCTTCCTAAGAATCTGCCTCGTTTAGTCACTAAAACCAAATTTACTTCCTTTTTCAGTAAACATGCACTTTAGGTAATGCTTGTTAGTTTTGAATTTGCTCAGTCGCCTGTTTTTATTTTTGTTGTAGAAAAAAAACCTCACTGTCTGAAAACATTCAAGCAGAATAAATGTAGGAATTAAAGGAATAATTCAGATCTTTAAAAATTGATGTGGATAAAATTATGAACAATTCAACTGTTTGGATAGTTCTTTGAATGACCTGAATTTGGAGAAATACATTTGTATTCTAAACAAATTGACAAACTAATCTGTATTTTGAGTAGGGGTCTAATGTTGACTGCTGCAAACTTAAAACTATTTATTTAAAAAAAACTCAAGGTTTATGCAAACATTGTCAAATTCACATTACCTGCAAAATCCTACARAATTATAGAGAAAACCATAGCATCAGCTAGCTGCTAATAACGGAACTAGCTTCTTTTTTTAGCAGTTTAGCATTTTTCCTAACTTTGGAAACTKTAAGTGGCCCAATTAGCCTCTTCTAGTGTACGCTTCGCTAATTTTAAGTCTGCTATTACTTTCACAAGCGTTAAACCTTTAATTTTTTGTCGTTTATCCACAATTAGTTAAAGACTATCCACTTACGAGCAGTGCTAGACAAATCTGTARCATGTAGTGTCTTTAGYAGCTAAACTTCAAATTAAGTGTCAAAAAGAAATAACATAATTCATTATATAACATTAAATATTTGCTAAATAACATTTGATGTTGAAATGTATAAAATATGATAGAGAAGTATTTGCTATTTGTTGTTATACTAACTCCAAACAGATTTAATAAATATACAAACTTGACCGAAAAAATGCTTTTATTCTGAAGGGGTTAAACTAGAAGTATCACAAGTTAGACAGAGCTAGAACTCTGGTTTGGATTAGCTGATTTGCCACAGATGATCCCACCTTCAAATGAAACCAGTAGAAAACTAACAGGTTTGCATCAGTCCCACCAGTCTTTAACTGGAAGGAGGTGAAGACGTGTGACAGTCATCTTAGTGGTAAGCTTCCTCTAACTTTTAATTTTGTTTAGCGCTTTAGCATTAGCAAAACTAAAATTTTTATTTAGCGGATTAGAGGTTAGTGAAGCTAATTGTTTGGTTAGCTGTGCCCACCACTGGCTGTAACACTTCCGCCTGCGGGCATGTAATAACCATGAAATGCAAAAGTTTAAAATAAACTAAATATTGTCTCAGTGAATGGGTTTATTTCTGAAGTGCATTGTTGACATTTTTAAACAACTCCAGTCTCTAAAATTTCACGACTGTTTTTAAAAAAAAATGCTGTTCTGTAAACATTTACACTGCAGTCATTTTAACATTGTTGTGGCAGAAATATTGCCATTTTCCTGCAGGAGGTGCAGCTAGCACTAGCTGCTAGTATGAGCTGCTGCTGCTTTTTGCTTTTCTTAATAACCAGAGCATGTACTGTATAAAAACAGTGTCATATGAACTTGACAGTGGTGTTAGAAAAGATCATTTGCACGGACTGCTATTGATTTTTGGAGAATGAAGCCGTTTTGTACTTGGCCACACTTGTTAATCCAGTCAGAATTCAACACTTGTTTAAWGAACTATCTGCAACAGGTAAGATATTATTGTTCATAATCTTTCCACAGGACTCCATTTTAAAAGTATTTAAATTATTGCTTTAATCTGTAGGAGTATTGGCCCCAGAAAGTTCCATCATTTTCACATCCCAGCCTAAAAACAGTAAATTTATTAGGTTCTCAGCCTGCAAACATCTGGCCATCATGTGATGGCACTAAGAGAAAAACAAGGTTTAAAATCTTTTCAGACTTATTCAATGACGGTTTGGGCCTCTTATAAAACAATCCTACACTCTAAAAATGAAATGTTGGGTTTACTTAACCATGTTATGTTACCTGGTTCCACTTAACTGAGCTGAGTAAATTCAAAGCAACATACTCATGTTCTTTGGCTAAAAAACTGGTATATTGCTTTGAATTTACTCAACTCAGTTAAGTGGAACCAGGTAACATAACATGGTTAAGTAAATCCAACATTTCATTTTTTACAGTGTAGTTTCAAAAACAAATTCCAACAAGGCAACATAATAAAATAAAAGGATTTAAATGAAAAAAAAACTATCTCTAGTGCCCTAAAGATAAAAGAAACTGAAACAATGTTGCATTTCCTTTCAAAWTGGCCATATTTCTGTAAAACCTTTTTCTTGTGGCAGCATCATAAGAATTTTGAATTTAAGGGTACAAACAAGCAACGTTTGAAGCATCATGATCGGGTTTCTGAACGTGCTAAACCACACAGAACAATATCGCCACCAGATCATATCTGGGTCCAAACTCTTCCTTCGTTAAAGTGTCAAGTTTTTCTCTTCATATGTAACACGGAGATAACAGGACTTCGTAACTGTTGTTTAGAAGCTGTCCAACGATGGAAAAGATAAAATGAAATGAAGAGCATTGTGTGTTAGAAGATGTAGCTGCTTGTGATAGAATCACTGTAATGAGCTGCATCAATGAGCTCAGTTTCAGACAAACAAAACAAGAAAAAAAAAACATCTGGGCAACAAACGAAGGCATAAAATCGACTTTACCTCACTCCCTTAAAGCATGGTGAACAAACAATTTTTCTGTGAAATAAATCACATGGGCTCCATTCATTAGAGATTGACCTAAATTTACAAAAAAAAAGAAAAAAAGAAAACACATATTATCAATGAGTATATCAGAAACACATTTTTAAATTATAAACCAGAACAGTTAGATTCATATTAAAACATGAATCCCAAAATAAAAGAAATATTTCAAATACATAACCAAGCATACAGTTGATGTTCTAAAGAGCTTTGAGCAGACAGTTTTACTTCTAAAAATCAAATATTCTGCAGTAAAAAAGTGCTCAAATAAAAATATAGAGATGAATTCCTGCAGGAAACTACAAATACAACACTGCTGGGAATGCTTACATCTCCTTTTGTCTCTTTCTTAAGGAATTAGTTACAGAGAACATACAAAACCAAATATAAATAGACCAAAGAAATGTGCACATTTTGCAAAGTCCTTCCATCAAAGCAAGGTGACAAATTATAGCATTAATTTGAAGTCAAAGGACAAAATTTAAAGACAAACATGCAGATCTACTGATGGCAAAGTTTTCAAGATTCCCTTTCAAATCTTGCAGCGTCGAGGTGGGATCACACAGTGCAAATTATAACACCAGTACCAAGTTCACAAATCCATCACTTTATTTTCAAATGAAATTAAAAAACAAAAACAAGAAAACCAAAAAGTGTAAATCTAATGCTTGACCTCGACATTCTTAATATTTCAAATGGATGACTGAAATTTCTTAATATCAAAATAACAAACTGCAAATTATTTTCTGGAAAGCAAAAGACCAATGCACATTTTTCTCTTCAGTATTGTGTCTACTGGAGCGCCTCGACACAGATTTGTTCCTCACTAATGTCATCCGTGAGCTGTCCGTCCACAGGGCTGCATGTGTCACTGTCATACACCTCTGTCCCCATCAGGGCTTCTTCCTCCAGACTCTCTGCTTTGCCTTTAAAGCCTTGCTGCTCTGAGGGAGACGTGCTCTCCACTGACTCCAGGTCTTCTATGCCTGCTCGGTAGTGGATCATTAGCAGGGTGAGGGCCTGGAGTCTCTCGCCAGATTTGGCCAGAGCCGTACTAATTAGGGCCTTACGCCGAGCATCTGTGGCCTCCCTTTCTTCCACCACAAGGCCATTGTTGTGCTCTAGCTCCTGGTCGATTTCTTGCTGAAGTTTGTCCAGCATTAACTCCAGCTTCTGGGAGCGTTCATCTGTGGGCAGCCCTCTGTACAGGTCGCGGCCTATCTCCTTCACGGCAATGAAGACGCTGTCGTCCAACCCACCCTCTTTTCGTGTGAGTTTGGTGCTGCCACCGCCGCCGGCAGGCTGCTTTGATGGGCTCGCACCGCTGGTGTAGGTCTCTGTGTCGCTGCTCTCGTTGTCAGATGTGTTTGGAGTTTGCTCAGGCAAATCAGTCACCTGTTCAACAAGCCGAGACTTTGGCGCCTGGCGAAAGTTAAGGAGGCGCGTGCTGGTGTTGATAATATGGCGTGTTATGCCAGTGGCCCGGATCATGGTGGGTTTGGCTTCAGGGTCAGCTCCACTACGTTCAGCTGTTGCCACACAGAAAGGACTTTCAGTGAGGCACTTTTCCTGGCATTTCTTGTGGCAAATGTAGCTGCAGACCATACACTGAGAGGCTGCCTTGGTCCAAACCTTCTTTTTACAGTATTCACACCAGGTCGGGTTCTGAAACTGGGTGTCCTGGAAGTTGTGGCGAACATCTGTTGACTGCATCGTGCTGTAAGCCAAGTCATCACGTGGAACTGAGGGTTCAGGTTCTCTTTCCCTCAGATCCTCTTCCTGGAGGCTCCCTTCCCACTCCTTATCTGCCACCCCAACTGGAAACTCTAATTCACCCTCAGCTAAGTAACAGAAGTTTAAGGTAACATCTCCATAGCACAGCTTCTCGTTGAAGCCCTTGTGAGTACTGAGACTGCGTAATGCAGTGCGGCTGACATTAGCTCGTGGCTCAGGAGGCAACAACCTAAAAGTGCTCTGGTACTCAGCAGATGATGTAGCCATACATTCCAGAGCTATGTGCTCCAGCTGGAGGCTAATATGACCCAAACACAACAAACTACCAAGCTTAAAGGGATCTTTGCACCACAGGGCCACATTAAGGTACTTATGGCTGCTGTCCACTTCAAACACCACTGAGGCCTTAGGCCAGTGTGCAGTCTGATTTCGAAATGTGGTTTCTGTGGATTCCCAGACCGAGTGCTCCTCCAGACTGTCTCGTGTGCTACAGGAACTCTCTGAAACCTTGTCCTTGGCCATATCGGCYTTGCTGCTGGTGAYAGAGGAAGTACCAAGCATATCGTCACAAGACTCTGCTGACTTGACAGACTGCTTTGCTTCAGGTTGTTTGATGGGCATCTTCTCAGCACCAGTCTTATCCTCACTGCCTGCAGTGAGTGGGACTTTTTCTGGAGATTTTTCAGATGAGCTGATGGTGGTGCTCATAGTAGGAGCAACAGAAGCAACAGTAGTTGTAACAGAATCAACGGCATCCAAAAGACTGGTTTCTGATGATGCTGACGTCAGCCTTATCTGAGGTCTCGGTGGGACTGGGGGTCGAGAGGGAGGAGGTGGAGGAGGGACACTGGGACGTTGCAGACCCTCTCCTGGATCACTACTGGTTTTATGCGGTGAGGGTTTTGGTGATTCTTTGGAATGGGGCTTTAACGGTGACTGTAGACCCACAAGGTTTAACTTACGGTTGAGAATGGGAGATATGGTGCCAAGGGGCTTTGAGGCTAAGTTGGCCACTGTCCTTTTAGGGCTTTGGTTTACAGTAAGTAAAAAGTCTTCCTTGGTCTCAGTTGTATTTGTGGTACTACTGCTCAATGCACTATTCTGGCCAGGTTGGGGTGCCACAATCAACTCTTCAAACTCAGAGTCCATGTCTTTGCTGTCAGTTACATCACAAAGGGTGGTGATTGGGGCTGGGTCTTCTTCATAACCACCTGGCTGCAGTGGCTGGGGAATAAAACCTGTTTCCTCCAGCTGCCCAAGCCCTTCCTGCAGAGTTCCAAGGCTACCCAAAGTGGGATTCTGTTGACGAACTGGTCTCTCATAAAATACCACCACCTTTTCCCCAGCCTGTTTTAACAGTTTGGGCACTTGAACTGAAGAAGTAACTTTAACACCTGTCAACAAAATAAGCACAAAGAACACATTTGAGGTCAGTAACAAAGAGTTTTTGGTTGCCTTTTAAACTTTTTACAAAATATTAGACATGGTTGTTAAATACAACATTTTTTGTCATTTTGAGCTGTAAAACATTTCACACCTCCAATAGCAATGAGGCGATCACCCTTTTGCAGGTCAGCCAAGGCTGCAGGGGAGTTAGGAGTCACAGTCTCTATGTAGACAATAATGACTGCATCACCCTCATAGGCAGGACATTGCCTGAACGTCATCCCGAGACTGCCAGATGTTCCCTTAAAAACCTCCGTCTGGTGAACACATGAGAAAAAAGAACCATTAAGATTAACATTGACAAAAAGATTWTAAGTTACATTTGTTGTTGAAGAACCTGCTTTAATTTACAGTATTACAGACTATGAAATACTTCAGATGTGGTTACATTATATTCTTGTAGCTATGCAACAATTAAAAGTAAATATCTTAGTTTATAGTACCTTTTAGAAGCATTACAAAATGTGAGTTTGTGAAACAAAGTTCAGTGTTCAGGAATTTTGATGCTTGTTCAATCTAAAATAAATTTTGGCCCTAATCGCTGCTTGGTAAATGATAATTATACTAGCACAGGATTCTCATATGGACAGAAGACAGCATGGAGCTCAATGTCCCCCACCAAGATGTGGGTTACCAGGGCCCCACCCTGGAACCAGACCTGGGGGAAAGACTATTCGGAAAGCACCTGGTGACCTAGCCTCTACTCATGAAGCCTTGACTGGCTCTGCCCAAATAAGCTACATGGGTTCCCCTTCCGTTTGGCCCACCATATGTTTGAGGGGCCATACAGGTCAGGTRTACAGTGGAAGCTGAAGGTTGAGCTCTTGGCATTCAGACCCTAGCTTACCAAAGCTGGCTCTTGAGACATAGAACGTCACCTTTCTGATGGGGAAGATGCTTGAGGTTAAGAGGTACCAACTACTTAAAGTTGAGCTCACCTCAGCGCATGTTTGAGTTCTGAAGCCAATATCCTTGAGAGGGGCTGGATCTTTTTTCACTCTACAGTTGCCAATAGTGAGAGGTGCATGTGCATTGGAGTTTTCCCTCCATAGATGAGAGGGTAGCTTCCTGCCATCTTTGTGTTATTGTTGTTTGTGCCTATGCACTGAACTGCAGTTAGAGTACCCAGCCTTGTTGGAGTTCTTAGCAGGGGGTGCTAGAAGTTGTGCTACCTGGGAACTTCATTATTCTGCTGGAGGACTTCAATGCCTATGTGGGTAGTGACGGTGCAACCTGGAGGGGCATGACTGGCACACTAGTTCGCAGATTCAGTCCCTTTTACAAATGGTACAAACTCTGAAGAACTCAAAAAACATTATATGATGAAACAAGCTCATGAAGGTCAAGATCACTAACTTTGCTATAGCAGAATCCAAATCATTATCAATCTCTCTACATACTTCATACTTGCAGTAAAACATCTTTTACATAAAATCAAGAAGGAACAGTTTACAGTTTTAACTAAACATCTTGAATTTTTACTTGTTTGTACCAGTTCAGTGTATGTCCACTTTATATTACACCTTCAGTTTTTTTGTTTCCTTTTTTCTTTTTTTCCTCAAACCATAATCTACACGTACCAGTACACTTCAACTATTTTAGCATTTCTTGACAAAATTAAATATCAACAATTTTTACTCGTGTGAGAACTACATGCAACTGAAAATTTGTAGTCTATTCTATCTATCTGTTATTAATCTAAGGAAAGAACATACAGTTATTATAGTTAAACTGTATATCTGGTTTTTATTACCCGACAAAGGCATGACTTTATTGGGTAACTTCATCAAATGTAATGAAATATAAATTTAAATATATTACAAAATGAGCAAACACACTATTTAGTCACATACTGTATGCAGTAACAACCCAATAAATAGAGCCTTAAAAATAAATCAATAAATTAATTAAAAATAAAGTCTAACAAAGACAGTCAATCAAAATAGGTCAGGTTGATTCAAAAACCTCCAAAGACATTCCTTCATACCCAAGTGGGATGTCTTTAGTACTTTGATGAGTRACTCAAACTGAAAGTTGTAATTTTGTATAAGAATAAAGAGCTGCAATTAAGCCTCAATCCCAGCTACAGAAACAACAAGGTCCAAGTTGCTCACAACACACCTGTGAGGCGTAGGTGACCTGTTTTATGCCTGACTGGCTGTCTATCAAACAACAACTGGTGTATGATAGCAACACATGCACACTCCTTATACAGATGATTAAACGGGTGAACTTTTAACAGCAATTTAATTAAAAGCAAGTTAGTCAAAACAACACATATATGATGGGAGATTTCTAAATGGACCAATGAGCAACATGGGGTGGACAAGAAGAAGTARAGTAAGGACGACGGTCCAGGTTTCCTGGTTTAAAAGAGAAAAGAGAGGCAACATGATGTGAGGAGACAAAGACAAATGACTGTAATTTCACATGCTGTAATTTGTCACAGTTCAGCTGGAAGGTAGTGATTGAGTTAAGCCTGGCCCTGAATAAGCACATGATCTATACATGTTGGCACAGTGAGGTAGGGGCTGTGGGTGGGGTTTAGAATGCAGATAACTAAAGTTGACTTGTCTAAGGGCAAGTCCTGAGCTATACTAATGAGTTATCCCAGTTTAAACAAGTCAAGATGATCAAAACTGTACAAGCAAAACATTTAGGAACAGCAGCCTCCAACAACTTAACTACCTGAACTATAGTTCTGTACCACCTTCACATACTTCAGTTCTGCAAGTGCATATAATAAAGTGTGTCATTTATGCAGACATGACATGTTGTAGAGTTCAACCTACTACTACTTTCATTATGTACACAYTCTTTTGTAGTTGCTAAACTACTGAACTTAGTTATCTGTGAAGAGACTAAAACAGGAGCCAGGAGTCTCCAACCAGTAGCTCGTGAGCTCATTTAAAGTAGCTCTCTCTTCTGTACTTGTGAAAAGTAAGCGTAGCAAAATTTAATTTGTCACTGGCCAAACAAACTTTCATTTATATGCAATCAATCCATAGACGTCCCTCCCCYTTGGTTGTCAATGAAACAATCTAGGGTTCATTATGGTCAAACGGCAGCAGACCAGAAGATGTGCGATCACATGGTTGTTCAGCGTTCATTTTTGCACACACTTTTCATAGCTCCTTGAGACACACTGTGCTGAGCTCCTGGGAGACCCCTCCCGCTGCAGCAAACGTCACAGCATGGGGTTTCTTCACATTGGAGTAGGCATGGGACGCTATGAAATTATGACGTAAGATAACCTTGGGCAAAAATATCACGATTTCGCGGTGTGACGGTATTATGATTACAGCTCTAATTTTTTTTTTTGAAATTTGTATTTCAAAACCAAAAAAAACCTTTTCTTATATCATATTCAACTTTATCGTTGAAAGCTGTTTTTAGATCTCAGAAGTGATACTGAAATTTTATTTACCTGTGTGCATTTATACTTATGATTTTTAGCACCTAATGCAATTAGGTTATCCTGATAAACTTTACATCTAAAAAGGATTACTGCTTTTCTATTGCTTTATTAGTTAAACCAGTGTATACTGCACAAGCCTTTTTATTGAAGTAATGTATCACATTGGAAGTTTTTGTTTTTTTTAAATGACAAAGGAGTTTTTGACGTAAAGATTATATAATTATATGCACACAGAAACAAGAAATCACARCTATGAACGCGTGTTTGTGAAACGCACGTTCAGCTAATGAGCTGCTCGGCTAAAGGAGATATTCAGTTTTATCGCCTTTCACCTAAAACTTAAACACACAATCCAACAAAGTTTTGCAGACAAGCTGTGACCGGTGCATTAAGCCACAGCAAGGTGGTGATGTGTTTCACAATCTGATGCTAAAGTTAGCTCTTTCCTTTCAAGATAACATAAACTTTACCTGGAGCTGTGATCATGTTAGACGTGTTGCCTCCACAGTCCACATTGCCGTCATCTTTACGGTTTCCTAAGTATTTTCATTTAGCTGGCTTTATTATTTTAGACGGGGGAAAAGTTTGGGGAACTCGCTTCTTCAGCCACCGTCACACAACCCCCACAGAGCTGCGAGTGCCGACAGGCAGTCTGTTACAGGAGTGCGCAGGGGAGGGGTCGTGGGGGAAAGTCTGAAGCTCACAGACCAGAGGAAAAATAAACAAAAAACGCTTATACCGTAGGTACGGTACGACAGAAAATTTTAGTGGTTTTGAAACCGTGACTTTTTCATATCACAGTATACCTTGAAACTGGTATWCGGCACATGCCTACGTTGGAGTCTACGATGGGGAAAAAAATCTGATGCTACATTTACACCAAACGCGTTGCGCACCTCCAAAAATCTCAAAACTCACGCCTCCCGACGCTGGTGTCCAGTGAGGACAGACACATTCGATGTGAACGTAGACGCGCTTCTTTAGACTCTCGAGAGGAGGAGGCTTTTTAACCGTAGTTTCGATAACTTACCAAACATGCTGACTTCCTCACTAATCGTCCTCCAGGCAAAGTCCTTTTTATTTCTATCACGATAATGGACACTGGAATGATCATAAATGATCGGACTATCAGTTTTTCCTCCATTGTTTGTGTGATCCGATTTCGTGGGCTTCCGGTATTTCCGGCTCGTCACCAGTATGTCAATGAGCAGAGTCTCTGTTTGGCTGATGTGACGCGTTGAGCAGTAAAATTCAGATTTTCCAACTCATGCGTCGAACGCTTTGGACGTGCCGCACCCAGGAAAATGCTCATGATGTGTGCACTGCTTCGAACAGCGCTGCTCGAAATGCGTCAGACGTGCTGCTCGGCTTCTAGACGCCCCTAGATGTGCAACCACCATTTACTTTGCATGTAAACAAGATGCTTCTGATGCTCAAAACCTGTTTTGTGTAAAAATGTAGCATGAGACCCGTCATCCAACATTTGTGSACAAATCTGTCCTGGTTAAAACCTGGGTTTGTAGTGTGAATTACACTATAATATGAATGAATAAACACCAAAAGCACATTCATGTAAATTCAGTGTTCTTTGTGATGGTTTCATCTGAGTTGAAGACAATGTTTTGTGTGTATGTTCAAGCAAAACAAGCTTATTCCAATGGCTTGAGTTTAAGTTTAAAATGTAATGTTGCAAAAAGTAGCTCTTGGACAATTTCATTTCGTGAAAGTAGCTCTTAAGGGAAAAAAAGGTTGGAGACCCGTGCTCTTTGCTGTCTTCACTGAGTTTATATCAGCAATATTAAACAAGACATAAAGGTACATAGAGGTTTGGGTAATGTATAAAAATGATGGCACAAAGGTTTCCCCTCAGGGATTTTGAAATAACAAAAGTTACTATTTTGTCAYGTTAATCCTTTTCCACTAAAAACTTAAAATTCCATTTACAGGGGTCAGTTAGGAGGCTATAGCTCCACATCCAAAAATTACCATTATTGCTCAGGTATTGGCAAACACTCTGAATGTTGTATTCAACCAAAGAAGATGCAAATGCATGAATTTTAAGCAGGATAATGACTATAAGACATTTTCCATCTGATATCTGATTAGACAATCCATTTAATATTGTGTCACACTAAAACAGATATTAAATGTATTCTTWCTGATAAGGTTAGTTCACCAGTCTTGTATAAATGTGAAGGTATTTTACTTTGTGTTAGCTGCTGTAAAGAATCAGTGCATAGATGTTGCAGACACTGATGCTGATCTTCACCCCATCTGGACCAGCACCAGCTGCTGTAATGAGACATGCTTCTGTGCTGTCCGTCTCCAATTATCCATTGATGAAACTGTCTCCAATTGATTYAGTGATATTGTTGAGCTGAGACATAAGGGAAAACACTGCTGCATGTATACAGTCACTGACATGTTAATATAGCTACAGTAGTTTAGAAATGGCTTTGAAAMTACATGTCTGTTCATATAAATGGCCATGAGCTAATTAACTTATGTTGAAAGCAGCTGGTGGGGCTGACGTAAAACAAGTCAGCATAATCCATATTATTTAAATAAAGGAACTGATAAGATCTTGAGCAAGCATTTGAGATAACACCAAGACTAAATTGATTCAACCTGTTTTAACTTAAGTGTTTGCAAATTTAATAACAAATCTACATTTGAGGTTATTAAAAAATATTTCCCATTTATTTTAAAGTTATCCTTTTCTTCAGTGGTATACAATAGTTAAATAAAAAAAATGTTTAAAAAGTGAGACGTGGGTTYGTTCCGTGCTGTTCCAAACTGCACCGTTTAATTGTTGCGTGGTGGTGCTTGTTCTCGAGGCTGAGCAGCAGCGACGGCACTAACCATGTTAACATTGACTAAAACAACAAGCTGCTCCTGGTCGTCTTGTCTCTGAGCAGAAAAGTCAAATGAAGCACGTAGGAGCCTGAATCGGCCAGATGTAAATAGAGGCAATCCAACATCTATTTTTGCAAATTCAGCCACTCTTTTATCTTTACCACCGCAGAGAACAAATGAAAGGTTAATATGTCCAGATTGCAGCTATCATTACTTTAGTTCTGTTCTTTACCTCTAGGATAGACACAGACTGATCTTCCTTTGAACCCTAAAAGAAAAACACTCATCATGATAAAAGACCTCTTTCATGCTTTCTTTTACACTCTGACATATAATGGGTTTCATCTCACAAATAAAAACATCCCACCATGACTGTGTTAAAGTACTACACTGTAGTTCACATTGTTCTTCAGACTGGTTGCACATATTTCATTTTCTTTGTGAGGGAAATGCTCAAACCTCTTTTTATGAAAAATATTACAGTCAGGAGAGAAGCTTATCTTTAGTTTCTCTAATWTTCATCTAATGTTTGGAGATTGGCAGCTTGAATTTAATTGAAATGATTGAACCAAACTATAATTTAAATTTCTTAGAGCTTTAATTTACAGCATTTTTTTTGGTAATTTCTGTTAATGAAACATTAAACTTTACAATCACAATAAAAATTTTGACTTAAAATTACCAATTTTGTGTGCGGTTGGCCGCCAGCGTGCTGGGGGTTCCCGGGGTCTGGGGCTGGGGCTGGGCACTGGGGTGTGTGCCGGCCTGGCCTGGTGACTGCCTGTTGGGGTTCGGGCCTCTGGGCCTGTCGGGCTTTGGCCTGGAGGGGATGCGCCCTGGGGGCCCGGACCTCTGTGCCATTTCCTGGATCTGCGCTGGTATGGCGGGTGCCGGTGGGGCCCATGAGTTTGTCGCTGCTGGCCCCGAGGGCTGTGCGTGTGGTTGCTGGGGGGACTCTCCCAGTTCTCCCCTATGGCCTGATCTGGGGGGAAGGTGGGCAGATCTTCCCGTATGGGTGCCCCTTGGGGCTCTGCGCTCGGGATCCCTCTCGGGCCCTTGGGCTCTGGTCTTCCCTATGTCTGCCTCGTGTCTTGGGGGTTGGGTCTCGGTCCTCCACAGTCACTATTAAATATTCCATTGGAGAAATCTTGTATATACACGCATGTTCACAACCGCTCACAAACAGGTGTTCTGATCCGGGGGTTCTGACTGGTCACTGAGTGTGTATTTATGTCTGTGTGTATATACTGACAATATTTATGAATGTTGGCATGTATGTATGTATATCTTTATATATGTATGGGTATGTGTATATTTTTATATATGCCCTCCATGTATTTATCCATTTATTTTTCAGGTGAGCRGACAGATGTTGGGTGTGTGGTCCTGTGTTTTGTTGGTGTAAATTTAATATACTTCTAATTGCTATTTCAATCTTTCTTATTACTTCTCTCTCTGTTTTTCTCTCTGTCTCTATTTTCTCTTCACTTAAAAAAGTCACTGATGATGAAGAAATAAATAAACTAATAAGATTTGGTTTCGTTTTCTACTGAAGTGACACCAAAAATAAATAAATAAATAAATAAATAAATAAATAAATAAATAAATAAATAAATAATTTACCAATTTCGTCCAAATCTACCCCATCTTTCAGCACGGTATTAACTGGCATTAACCCTCCACTTCTCTGTGGKTTTCTGTCAGATTTTAGACTACACAAATGGAAAAACAAACAAACACGCAAATTACACTTCAAAACGTAAGACTTTATCTGAAATTGTGTGTGTGTGTGTGTGTGTGTGTGTGTGTGTGTGTGTGTGTGTGTGTGTGTGTGTGTGTGTGTGTGTGTGTTGTTAAAGTGTCTGATGTGAACAAAATTTGCAAAAAAAATAAATTAATGAAGTCAAAAGTGTTACCATAAACAATTGTCTAATTTAGGCAAAAATAAATMAATTTAAAAAAGCCCCGTCGTGTTTGGAGCTCTACAGTATGGGTTGAGCATTTTTCACAGCAAAAATGTCAGACTTTACATGACTAACCTGGTATTTTGATATCTTTAATGGTTGTCCACATTAGTAATTCATTTGTTTGTTTGTTTTTTAGATTTTTCACAAAATGTTAAAATTTATAGGTGATGTTATTAACTTTGAAATTTTCTACAATTTTAAGGTATTTTGCTAACTTTTCCTACTCCCATTACTATTTAAGTACATATAAAAATTATACATCATTTGATCCTGGTTCACTTCATGTTTCTTATGAATTATACAGCAAAATAAAGGCTTTCACCCTTATTTTTAGGTATACACTGCACTGACATCCTTCATAATGGCATCATAATAAATTTCCTACCTTTTCATATATTGCATGTCTACTAAAATYTGTTAAATACAAGTTTAACAGTAAAAACAATAGACTTCAGCCTGCTTAATACCGGACGTCAGAGTATCATGTGAATACTGGACCCAGCTTACAGAGACAGTCAGCTGGAGGCTGGACTGAAACAGCATCTCCTGTTGCTTGGCTAAACATCCCTCAGATCTCTGTTAGTCTGCCAAGGTGCTTATAACAGAGGTTGGGRTAAGCAAATTCTTTTTCCTGTCACTGCGCTGCTTGGCAATTTAATCGAA